TGGAGCCAAGATGACGTTTGAAAAAGTCATGTTCCATTAAGATCTGAATCTACGACCTTCTGATCTATAGGAGAGCGTCTAATGGCTACACAACGGCGGCTCCCGTGTGTGCTTCTCTTTCACTTATAAACCGACCCTGCATAAAATGGGAACAATAAATTTCCTAAGATGAATTCGCGGCTGGCCTAATTTGACCACAACACCCAGCGCTGACTGGTTTAAAAATATGAGGTCAACACCCAATATAATATTCAATATCTACTGTGGCAGGAAAATGAGACTTTCACCTATTGTTTTAACTTTACGTTTGCAGATGCAATGGATTAACTCAGAGACAAGATATAATGCGTTTGACAACAACAGTAAAAAAGCTTGCAGACTGACTTCAAAAAAGAATAAGGAAAAACAAGAACTGCAAGAAATTATAAGTTCTCACCCCCACCCATCTTTCTGTTTGAGATTATATATGAAAACAGGCATTCCCCGCTGATTATAATTTCATTTAGCATCTGTCCCTTTTAAGGTCCCCCCCCCCCCCCCCCCCATTTTTTGAGGCTCTGCATAAAGTTTGACCATCCACGAGACGTCAATACTTTCTCTCGAGAGAGCAAACCAACGGGCAAATCTCAGATACCCCTTCAACCTACAAAGTAATTAAAATTGGAGCACTTGTAACAGTTACACTAGCCAATTGTATCCTACATCCTATTAGGGTAAGGAGGGAACTAATTATAATACATAAGTTAGCATCTAGAAAACAGACAACATTCAAATATCAAGAAAGATATAAGCAGTTATACTCACCTAAATAGAATTGCCAAGATTCCCACACAAAGGCCTGGAAAATGAGAGATCCCCCTTGACACAAGAGTCCCAGCATCGCAATATATTTATCTGCCATACATTTCTGAAGAATCTTCAAAATCACAGCGCCAGCAACAAAGGCCCCAGCCCCCCTGGCAGAGCTGTAGTAGCCGATCTGGTTAGCATCCCAACAGAATGGCTGATGCATTTGGTATAGGGCATCAAGTGAGGCTTGGTATATTAAATAAGAAACTGCAATGATGAAGATAAGAATACCCAAACAAAAAGTTGCCTTCCTTCTTGGACTTCCATCGAAAAAGTAAAACCCAAATATTCTTCTCATGTGAACAAGAGGATTATACTCTTTTGTCTTTGGTCGGTGTAAATGTGTCTCTGGTAAGAAGAATAAAGGGATGAAAAAAGACACAGCTAACATACACGACAGAAGTATTGATGCTTCGGTGAAGCCGTAGTTGCTGATGAGGTAACCGCCTACTATATTCAGTACGGCATTTACTATGGCTGAGCTGAATGAGGTAAAGAAAATCCAGAAGGATCGATCACTCTCTTTGGTGCAAATGTCTGCTGTTAGAGCAAACATGGCCATCAGTAAAGCGTACCACGATCCCGACAAACCGTCAAATCCATAGGCCAGGTACATGAAACGCAGGTCAAGGTGGAACCTAAAGGATTAAAAAACAAAAAGTGTACATTTATTTAAAATAAACTTTATCAGCGGTTATTATTTGTAGGTAATATAAAGTTTGAATTTCATAATCATCGAGTATCAGGTTGCGATGTCCTTGGCGGAAAATTGCCATCGTTCTCGTGGCGTTCAAAGGGAGGCACAAAAGAGCTACACCGTAGAAGAGGTTGAAGCCTCATCGCGTAATATTCCAATAGGCAGTGGTTACTGCAACGAACCAATCTCCACGATGAAGACGGTAAACACTTGTTCAAAGTGTAACAAATGCAAACTGTAAAGCTAATAAAGGGCTCTGATAGCACAAGTGAGGTCCCCAGGTCGATTAAGCCTTTAATTGATCCTAGAGATGTTGTCAGAGGTAACAGAGTAAGAGGAGAGGTCAACCACACAGAATATGGGCCGCAAAAATGTCAGAGACACTTAAAGTACTATAGACGAAGCCAGCAGAAGCATCCGTTCCAGAGATCTCTTCCTGTCCTGACACTGCGAGGCATTCCAGGAGTCCTAGTACTAGTCCTTTTGAGAAAGAAAATGAAAAGGTCGACCACTTTCAGACTGCTGCTAGCTAGCCGAGGCTGCTAACAGTCTCCGCCTATATTTGTGGTCTGGGTTATTTGCGTCACTTTCGTGACTAAATTCTAGTGCCATTTCTGGGTTTGATGCTTCCTTCCGAGTCAGACCGCTGGTCCTCCGCCTTGTTGTTAGCTGTGCGTTTCTTTTCTTTTCTTATCTGGTATTTCCTCTTGGTGTCATCTCTTTTTGATTTGGCCAGGCGTATCTTACAGGAGAGCGAGCTTTTCCACACAACGTCCATTGGACCATTATTTACAGTTTTAAAATTTTGAGTATTTTACTTTGCCAAAAAGTATTGAAAACAGTTTTTGATGTTGGATAGTTCCGATATATGAAAATTTTCCACGTGTGACCATAGTGGTCTTCCTGCAATAAGAATGGGTTAGTTATGTCGTGGATATGTGTCAAAAGTTATGTTGAGCCTCAAAGTTGGTTTATTCGTCATTTGTTAGTGTGTGATCCGGTTGTGTCAGTTTCGGTTGGCACCTAGACTGCAGTGTACGTAAATATTTTATGAGTACAGAAAAGAAGAAAAAGACATATCATGGAAAGTAAATGCGACCTGTGTGGTTTGATCCAGTAAACTAAAGAGTGCCGATTAGTCGGTAAAAATATTGGTCTGATATTATCTGCCTTATGAGCCAACGGCGAGAAATGGATCCACCACTTGACATTACTAAATCCCAAAAATTATTACGGAAAAGAAACATGAAGAACATGTTGCTAACTGCGTCATTAGGAAATCTATTTATTCAGATATGTTCGAGATCAAGCCAGCAAGTAATCTTCAGTTCAATGACAGAACGCTAAGATTTATCGAAGCTTCCGCGATTCGTCACCTACGCCCGGAACTCTGTATACAGAAAGAGATGGTTCAGCCCTGGTAAAAACAGGCAGTCATGTTTGATCGTTGTTGAAATTGTACTTCAGTTGTAAAGGATTCACGTATCTGCTTCATTTATGTAATTTCTACAGTAGTATGCACCTGACGAGATACAGCGAAATATGCAAGGCAATAAATTGTGCAATCTATTGTTGGTGTCTTCTTTGTTCAAATTTACAACGGGGAAACATTGCTTTGAATTTCTGTAATGATTTCAATAGACATGAACAAAACCGAGACATTGTACCAACCTGATGACAGTGGTAATGGTTTAAATGGACATGAAAAGCGAGATGTTGTACTGACCTTATGATACACGTAGTGATGATCATCTTAACAAGGACGGTAAACAACGGCAGCAGTAATAGAAAACGTCGGCCCAGGTAGTCCGAGTAAGATCCAATAAACAGGCAGATAAATATTGCAGGTACACACTGGGCATAGCTGTAGTATGTCTGTAGATCTGACGCCTGCAATTATTAGGTCAATTAATTACTGTCTCTGTTTTAGTGTCTGGGATGGGAGCGTAGCTATGGCTTGGTTAGTACACTTGCATGCCGGTCGAATCAATATCTTATTTGTTTCTTAAATGCAGTCTAGCGTTCAGATAGAGCTAGGCTAAAATTTGTGCCAGAATGAATGAATCAAGAATTGACTTTACTGAACTGCACTCGGGACATTTCCACAAGTGCCCCGTCTCCTTTTTCATTAACCAACGAAGAGCTGACATGCTAATGGTACCAGCTGCAACCTGAAAGTCCGTCTCTGTTTCCCCTTTAATGTTAAATAACCCCCGCACCCTTTTCCCCATCTCCACCTTCGTTGAACTGGTCTTTCAGCGCATGGATTCCCACTTGTCGGGCTGTACTGCTCTCAAGCTATCGGAAAGCTGCTGTCAATGCCTCCACCTCCATTCTCATACTGGGTAACAGAAACATTCCGGACATTAAAGGCTGCCAGTGTGATACAAACAACAGCATTCATCGAATGACACTGATTCGCTGCCTGAGCTACTGAAATTCGACCAAATTCTTTATCAACGGAATACTAAAAAAAAGTTAGTTGCGTATCCTTTACAGGACGTTGCAGAACCAACCCTAACAGCCCCTGGCTGTTGTGTGGTTTCTCTAGGCAATTTACGTCCAGTAGTTTGCCATTGCTTTCTAGACGGTCGGCTTTCTTGATACCACTGTCGAAACCAACGCAAGGCGCATTGCCCACAGCTGGGATGAAACCTGGCATCCCGGCATTACGAAGCGAAGCGTTCGCATCGACTTAGTCACAGAGCCGACAGGAATACTTAATACAACACAAATAAATTGATATCAATTTTAGTCGAAATTGTCTGTCTTATTTGTGCATGTCTTTTTAATCACCTCAACCCAGTCTGCGTTGTATATAGTATTTCTTGATTAATTGGCATTAGGCCAAACTTGCTTAAATGCAGCTTTGGCGCCGATTTTTAAAAAATCCCAGATAGGTCGAAAATAAGTATTACTTTCACGGGTTTTTTTTTTTTAAATTTATTTTTATTCATCCCAAACACGGGAAATCCCGGAGTTCCTGTGAAAATGTAGGGGTGTACGTGCTGATGATAGGGTTTATTCTTAGTCGGTGTTCAATTCAAGCCGAATAATACCTATAATTTTGAACTTTCCGGAAAACTCAGGGATTTCTCGTGTCTGGGTTGAATAAAAATTAAAGAACTCTTTCACGCAACTTATCCTAGCCATCTCCTTGTAAGATGCAGTTTTTCCTTATTTTGAAGCCCTACCCTGGCTCTTGCCTGGGGCCGCAATGTAGCCCGACCATAAATATGGTCTAATGGCTGAACAAGGTTTCCGTGACCTGTCCACGGGTGATTCTCATCCACATGGTGGCACTTGGTGTCATCGGTTGTTTATCGCTTGTGTGATGTCCTAGTGGGGTATAAATCTACTACTATTCACGCAACCACACAGTCTTCATTTGTTTTTGTTTGTCTTGTCTTGTCTTGTCCACAATTGCCTCACAGCGTAGTGGGGAGTCGCAGTTTTCTATCCTGGGCCAGGTGTGTTGCACGTGTTGTTGTTAGTCAGTGTTGCCTCAGGATCTCTGATATATTGTCTATCCATCGTACTCTCGGTCTGCCTCTTGCTCTAGGGCAGTAGTGCTGTTCGTTGTATGCTCGTAGAGGCAGTTGGTCGGCTTGCATTCGCATCAAGTGGCCAAACCACTCTATTTGTTGCTTCTTTATGTATTGCAGGCATGGTGTGGTTGCTACAATTGATCTAATGTTCTCGTTTCGAACTCTGTCTCTCCTTGTGACATTGGCAGCCTTACGTAAGCATTTCATTTCGCACGTCGTGATCTTTTTCTCCTGTGCTCTTGTTTTTGTTTTTCAGAGAAAAACACGATATTTTCAAAACAAGTATTTGGCACTGAGGTGAAATTGGCGTAGAACCAACAAATATCTCGTGGACCGCGCTCACTATTATTTATGTCATCGCTAAAAAAGTTGCCATTCCAGGTTACAACTTTGGGGTCACTCTCACCTGAGACTGTATATCATTAGCTGTTGCAAGTACAGAGCTGTTGGCATCCCCCGAACAAGATGCAACGTCTGTCAAGTTTAAATATCCCTGATCGTTGGCTAGTCTGTCCACAAGGTACTGGGCAACTATTGAGTCCCGCGCTGACGAGGCTGACCTGTTAAGAGAAAGAAAAAAAAGCCTTAAACAAATCGACTGCTTTGTTCTGAACTGAGAGCGGCAGTGATGTATCGGCTAGACGCCTGCCTACTGATTGGATGGTAGTGGGTTTGCGTCCTGATGGTGCCAGATTATTTTTTAATGACTTTGCCTTTCAGGTCGACCCAGCTTTGAGCGGTTACTAGGTAAGTCATGGGAAGCAAAGAAGGCCGGCATGTTGCTGACCATAACACTCACCCTGTACCAATTGGGCTCTAATTTATCAGTCTAGCCCTATATGCTCAGTACGCCTGTAGGCGTGAGGAAGTTCAGTTTTACTTTGTTTTGAATTTGAAATTTTGAAGCGTAGGTTGTATGACTTGTGTGTAACTTGGTAACATTTTACAATCACAGGGACTTCATATGAAAAAAAAAAAAAAAAAAAACTTCAAAGTGTGAGAGAAATTATAATAACCCTGCCACTGACTTGTAAACTGTCAAATTGTTTGTTAAGGACGCCAGGAGTGTCACACACGTGACATAACGGTACAGACGAACACGGTGGCGTCCTAATGACAGTTTTAAATTTTTTTGCAGAAGCAGAGAAGCTTTCTGTTGTCCGTTTTGGATCAATGAAAGCAGATGATGATCTGATTTCCTGTTATTATGATATATATAATTTTACATGATATCATCATCATCATCATCATCAGGTGCCTTGTGTTTCGCGCTGATTTGGGTAAAGTGGGACAGTGTGTGAAGGGTCAGTACTTTCTCTGAGTTCACGGGGGGAATAGTGTCAACATGGTCCGAGTATTGAGAGGAGACAAGTAAGAATATCTATTCATGAACAAGGCGTGCACGCACGAGAGAAAGTGGACGCGTGGGTTACGATGTGGTGGACTGAAAGCATGGCTAACAAGATAAACAGAGAAAGTGTGAAGTAAGTGACAGTGTGATTCTCAGGTAACATCAGCCACCCGCATAAGTGTGAGTCTCGAGAACACCCACAGGATCATGATTCACGAGAATGCCCATACAAGCGTGCCTCTGGTGTATATATCATCCACCTACACGGATTTGAGGTGGATAAATTGGGGGGGCTGAGTAGCCACTCGGAGGGCAATCGAGAAGCAGTCGAGAGAGAAGCGAGAAGAGAGAGAGAGAGAAAGCGAGAGTCAGAGACCAAGTCAGGGTCCGTGATATCTCTCGCGAGTCTAACATACAAGAATACCGTACGACTATCAGACATTGAGGTCTGAGTGAGTGTCGGGGTTGCGGTACTAAAAGGAAGATATGGTCCCGCTGGCAAAGTAAGTCCAGGAGACGGAAGGGTCCAGTAGTACCTGTTCTTGGTGACGACGTAGTGAAACGTAGGAGGACCACTACTGAAACAGAACAGAGGGGAGTGGTACTGACGAGAGCTGTGTACTAGAGGGGACTTATGGTAGGAGTCCTGTCGGCCATCGGGGCCCTACGACAAGCTGACGACAGCTTGTGTGTTTCCGGAGTACGGCAAGGGAAGTTCGTCTCCAGTCAGCCGTGTTGTATGCTGAAATAATATCAAGGTTCAGGGAATGGGAGAAGTCGTCCTGTTCAGCTGTATGGCGCGTCCAGAGTGTGGGGCGCTGTAGTCCTTGGAGCTGTAGTAGTCAAAGAGAGGCCGCTACAAATTGAGAGATAGAGAGCGAGTGAGGACAAATGGACGATGTGCGAATGTCAGCTGTGATCAATAACTACGTCTCTGCATTTGTGTCATGTATCCTGTTAAATAAACATGTATGACGGTGTCATCGTCGTCGAGTTCTATTTCTAAGAGAGGAAGCTGAAGAGTACCTGCTAGACACTTGGTAGTGTGCTGACTCATTTAGCACAAACACTTGCCGGCTGGCGTGGGCGATCATGCCTCTTCATAATCTGCGATCTCCTGCAGCATGTATCAGTTCTTGTACCGACACGAATATAGTATTCTCAAATACAAGTTTATCAAAGAAGTATAACATCAGTTTGTGACTGTTCTGATTTCACTAGGTAATAATAATAATAATACATTCCAGTAACATTTAGAAATGGGGTAGGCACGCTTTAAATATATTCTTGTAAATTTAAATAATATGGCTATTAGTTATTAAATATATTCTATTTAGATTAAGTAATAGCGCAAACACTTTTTGCATATATTAAAATTATTGACGACGGGGCTTGCATTAACATAAATTTACTAAATACAAATATTAATGACATGCAGGTTTATGTAAGTGAAAAAAAAAATTTAAAAATCGAGACAGCAGTTTTAATTTGCATTAAGTAAAATTATGTAAGGGGGTCATCCCTTTTCATATATTAGGACCTTCTGGGAGCGAGTGAACAGTGCCGAGAAATAGATGGATCATTACGGTCTGAGGAGAATGGCACTGCGAGGAGTTTCAGGGGGATCTGGCCGATGCTCGACACTTAGAGGAAAGGCGAGACGGATATACAATCAGATCGTTACTTTTACCATCGGAATTTAATTCTTCGCTTGCTGCTGAAGATGGGGACCGAGCGCTTATAGGAGTGTCCCGAGTGCTGTGATGTAGATTCTTAATTCAACATTCAACATATCTTAGGTAACTGGGGGAGTACTTATAAGATAAAATTTTAAAATAAGGACAGTACTGTTAATTGTATTAAGAACAATTAAAAAATAATATCAGAAAGGAAAGGAACACATTCCTAAATTTATCACAGCAACAAAGTGGTGTGATTTTGAAATACAGCTCAATACATGATGTACAGTGACAGATAAACTTACAAGGAAAAAACTTACAAGGAAAACACTGGAACAACTGCAGATATGATCCGAACTTTGAGGACAGAAACCGGTCCATGTTGGTGTTCTGGTGCCACACGGTTTGATTTTTCTGTGTCATTAGCATCAACTTGTACTGACATTAGCAATGTTTGAAGCTGAAATATATATGTACATACAACCTTACTTTAACCCTTGCTATAATAAGCAACTCCTGGCATAGTAGACACGTTAGCCAGAACGCTGAATGAAAAAAAAAAAAACAAAAAACACACACAGTTGAAGGTGAATCAAAGTGCATGAGCGTTTACGGTGAGCACAGGAGGGGTTGGGGTGGGAGGGGCGGAACAGGGGGTGGGAAACTATCAAAGAGATGAATGGTGTCTTTTCTGTTATAACTAGCAGCTTTACAGTCGAAATTGTGGCTGTAACAAGAGCATTAGGATGTCTGCGTACTCGGAGAGTTCACACACGCATGCATACTAAATGACTCAAAGAATATGTTTAAGAAAATCCATACTGGTTTCATCAGACAAGAATGAATGTATAACTAAGCACGGTGCGAAGGCTGTCCTAATCTTCACCTGTGAGCCACGTCATGCGGGTGTCTGAGGCGATTAGCCTGCAGATTATCCTGCAGACTCTGCAGCACTTACCACAAAGACGAACACGGCAAAGGGCATGACTCCGTATCCCTGCCTGGGCTGATGGACATAGGGGTGCAGCCTGGAGCTGCAAGAAAGGAATATTCAGCATGGGAGCAAGACGTTGATTAAACAACACAGAACAGGTGGCATCGGCCTGTTCATGCTTGTAAAGCTTTTGAGGCGAAGATGAGAGCTCTGATAGATTTATCAGGAGATGTTGATTCTCACAAATCACTACTACACCAGGTAACCCATCATGCATTGATACGTTATCGTTGGTATGATAATAATTGACTCAGTTGTTAATGTCGTCGTTTTCAATACGGCTTCTTTCTTTGTCATCGTCTGTAGAATAGGGGTTACGAACATGCTTTGTAATTTCGATATAGTTAGGTAAATTCAGTTACAGGCGATTTTGCAGCAGACCGCTTTGCGCTGAGTTTCACAAGGGTATGCAGCGTGGACCTTACAGAAAGCAGTGGCAAACAACCAAATGTAAATTGTCTGGGAAAACCTCAAGAGCAAAACAAATGCTAGCGCTGGTTTGCAATGCCCTGTAAAGAATATGCAAATAACTTTAACTTCCGTTTTTAAAAACAGATCCAGGGAGCTGCTGTGAGGTAGGGGCTAGACGCTCGCCTGTGATGTAGGGGCTAGACGCTCGCCTGTGATGTAGGGGCTAGATGCTCGCCTGTGATGTAGGGGCTAGACGCGTGCCTGTGATGTAGGGGTTAGACGCCCGCCTGTGATGTAGGGGCTAGACGCCCGCCTGTGATGTAGGGGCTAGACGCTCGCCTGTAATGAAGGGGCTAGACGCCCGCCTGTGATGTAGGGGCTAGACGCTCGCTTGTGATGTAGGGGCTAGACGCTCGCTTGTGATGTAGGGGCTAGACGCTCGCCTGTGATGTAGGGGCTAGACGCTCGCCTGTGATTTAGGGGCTAGACGCCCGCCTGTGATGTAGGGGCTAGACGCTCGCCTGTGATGTAGGGGCTAGACGCCCGCCTGTGATGTAGGGGCTAGACGCTCGCCTGTAATGTAGGGGCTAGACGCCCGCCTGTGATGTAGGGGCTAGACGCTCGCTTGTGATGTAAGGGCTAGACGCTCGCTTGTGATGTAGGGGCTAGACGCTCGCCTGTGATGTAGGGGCTAGACGCTCGCCTGTGATTTAGGGGCTAGACGCCCGCCTGTGATGTAGGGGCTAGACGCTCGCCTGTGATGTAGCGACTAGACACCCGCCTGTGGATCGGAAGGACGTGGGTACAGGTTCTGACAATGCAGAATGTTTTTTTTTTCTTTTAAATCACCTTGGCTTCCAGTCTTAAATCCCTGAAGTAAAGGCGACTAAGTGCGGATATATCTATAAAATATACGTCTAGCCCTATATGCCCAATACCCCTGAAGCCGTGAAAAGGGTCCTTTACTTTAAAATAAGGCGCAAGCACCATATGTGCAGTTCGCTTTAGGCCATATTAGGAGATAATTTGCAAAACGCATATAATATATTCAGCCTCCAACTAAGTTACAGTTACAATCCTGTGCTCACGAAAGGTCACTTTACGCACCAGAGGGGCATAGGGCACATGAGGCTAGACTCTTACTTCTATTAACCAATGGTCAACATCACGCCCTCCGCCTTTACTTCCCAGGACTTAATATGTACCAATTTAAGGACGTGGGAGCCAAATCTATGCTTTGAACCCACGACCTTCGGAACCGCAGGACGCTACACCAGGGCGGCTTTTCCTGTGTCTATGACACAAGGAATAGCCACATCAATGTTGAAAGTGTTATCACTAATAGAGGTTAGTTGCGTATCCTTTAAAGGACGTTGCAGAACCAACCCCAACAGCCGCTGACTGTTGTGTGGTTTTTCTAGACAAATTTACGTCCAGTAGTTTGCCATTGCCCCTGGACGGTCGGCTTTCTTGATACCACTGTCGAAAACAACGCAACGCCTATGGTCCGCAGCTGGGATCGAACCCTGCATCCCGGCATTACGAAGCGTTCGCATTGACTTAGCCACAGAGCCGACTATCACTAATAATAAGCATAAAATCGCCGCAATAACTAAACTAAGACTCATAATTAAACACAGAATCATTATTAAACACATTGTGTAACATCTTACGGAATTATTTAGCTGTACTTTACCAGTCCTAGATAACACAAGTTATGATGTTTGTAATACTTGTGCTAAGCACTGAAATCATCACGTACGTTAAATTTATCGGTTATCAAACCCTTCATTATTTCAGTGCTTGTTAGGAGAGGAGAGGAGAGGCTATTATCTGTTTCAAGCATATGGACTATGAGTTTGTAGGCCAGAGTTCAAAGTCTGCAAGCACTACAGCTTATTGGGTTTCCCTTTAAGTGTGTTCTCTGTTTACCACTTGTCACGTCTTGGGCCCTTCTTCTTCTGCGTTCGTCATTAAAAGGGTGGTTGGCTCGTTGTTCTGTGGTTTACAGCTAGGTGGCGATATCGGCACCTTACGAAGCAATACATCCTACTTCAGCTGACTCTGAATTAGTTTTTGTGATGCAGTTAAGGGCAGGAGGTTTATTCTTTCCAAATCAAAGCTCAAGGGGGGAAATCATCAGAGATATGAATGGTGCCTTTGCCTTTGCAATAAAATGACAAAGAAAAGTGCCAGAGCTGACAAGAGAAGATTTACGGAAAATCTTGCAGAAAGAGCAGAAAATGCTACTAAAGCACATGATCTACAAACCCTACACAAAATTACCCAGCAAATTTGCGGAAGCAGAAACAATTATCACAGCATACCCATCAGAGATAACCAAGGCAGACTGCTCACCACAGAACAAAAACAAGACATACAGTGGACTAAACATTTCTCCGACCTCTTGAACAGACCGGATCCTGAAAATCCCCCAGATATTCAACCAGCCTCTTAGGACATTGACATTATTACTGAACTACCAAGCAAACAAGAAATCCTTAAAGCTATCCACACTTTAAAGAACAACAAAGCACCAGGCAAAGACGAACTGTCAGCAGAACTTCTCAAAGTAGATCCCAACACAACTGCTAGCATTCTAGAACCATTGTTCCAGGATATTTGGGAAAAAGAAGTGTTGCCCGATGACTGGACTGAAGGAACAATAGTCAAAATCCCCCCAAAAAGGAGATTTAACAGACTGCAATAATTGGAGGGGAATTACTCTACTCTCAGTACCAAGCAAAATATTTTGTAAAATCATCATAATGCGGCTTGAAAAAGGAGTAGATAAATGCCTACGAGTGGAACAAGCAGGATTCAGAAAGGGCAGAGGAACAACTGAGCACATCTTCGCCATGCGTAACATTTTAGAACAATGCAATGAATGGCAAAGAAGTATATATATTAATTTTGTAGACTTTAAGAAAGCTCTTGACAGCGTCCATAGAGACGGTCTGTGGAAAATTTTACGACATTATGGAATTCCAGAAAAAATAGTCAACATAATTGCTCTCTTCTATAAAGACTTTTCCTGCACTATAAAAAAAATTACAATACATCTTTCCCAGTAAAGACAGGTGTAAGACAGGGTTGTGTTATGTCATCTTTCCTCTTCAACCTTGTGATTGATTGGATACTAAAGAACACAGTAGACAGGACATTAAGAGGCATACGATGGACTCCATTCACCATGCTCGAGGACCTTGATTTTGCAGATGATATAGCACTCCTATCACATAAACATGAACATATACAAGAGAAAAGTAACAGACTACACTGCACAGCAGAAATGGTGGGACTGAGAATAAAAACAAAGAAAACTAAGATTATGACAAACAGTCCAAACCAACAACCAGTGACTATAAGTAACCAATCACTTGAAAATGTAGAACATTTCACATATCTTGGCAGTGTGGTGTCCCTACTGGGAGGGACAGAGGAAGACATACAGTCTCGCCTGAACAAAGCTAGAGCTGCTTTTGGAAGGATGAGGCAAATCTGGAAATTCAACAATTACTGCAGAGGAACAAAACTCCGACTCTACAAGAGCATCATTTTGCCAGTTCTTCTTTATGGAGCAGAATGCTGGTGAAGGACCAAAAAGGATACACACAAGCTGTCCACCTTTCACCACACATGTCTACGTAGAATTAACAAAATTTTCTGGCCGGATACAATCTCAAACACTAAACTACTTCAAGCAACAAACCAAGAAACTTTAGACAGTATGATTACCAAGAGAAGATGGAAATAGCTTGGCCACGTTATGAGAATGACTTCTGATATACCTGCCAAAACAGCTCTCACATGGACACCAGAGGGAAAGAGAAAACAGGGGCGCCCAAAAACAACATGGAGACGAACGATGGAAAGTGACCTGAGTGCGGCATCTTTGACTTGGAAAACTGCACTAAAGATTGCACAGGACAGGAAAGCATGGAAAGTCCTCTCTGAAGCCTCATGTGCCACTAGGCATAACGAGAACAGATGATGATTTGCTATTGCAACAAGCAGGATTACAATGGAAACTGTCGCAG